GAAGGAGGTGGGGGTCACCTTGTTGGGGTCGCCCTGTTTCATAGGTAAATTTAGTGGCAAAATGGCCACCAAAGATAAGTTATTTCCTTAGCTTAAGACTCCGAGGTAAATAAAAAATTTCATTTTTTGTGCCTTTAATCAAAAATTTTCAGTAGAAAAATCACACAGAAATGAATTCTTTAATCGGCATAAAAGGTGTTAAGCCCAAAAACCCCAAGAAATTCATTAAAAATTGACAAACTTGCGGAAAAATGCCAGTTTCTTCACTTTGATTATTTTGACGAGAGCCAGGTAGCACCACACTACCTCACCTAATCATTCCGGTATTGAGAAAAGAAGTTAAATATTACATTTTCATGTTTGTTTGTTTTTGCTTTTGTTTCTTCCAAAAGTTACTATGTCAAGCGTAAGTAAGTTGTTTAAATGAAGGCTCTCCGATTTTTAACCGTCATGTCATCAGGTCGAATCTAGCCAGGGGCCGGGGTTGTGTCCTTGGGAAAGGAACTCTGTGCACGAATTATTATTTATTTCCTCAGATTCCCCTGGTGGAAATGACTACCCGGCTATTATTCAGAGCAAAATATTATAATGTTATTTTCTGTTCGTTAGTGGTTTGGCGCGTGTAATGCCCAGCATGAATTGTACGATGCTTCCTGGGAAGTCGAGACGTTTTCTTTGTCGTGTTCTAGACAAGGTGAGCTGGGGTAACGATGATCACACAGAACGTAGAGCACGCTGTTTATCAGGCAGGGTGTCATGGGAAACTGGTGGTACTGACTACCCGGCTATAGAGAGCAAAAAGTGTCACGATGTGGGGGAATCAGGCGCTCGTCAAAGCTCGTTCATTTGTCTTCCTTTTGCATGAAAAAATATTGATCTGTGTGGAATAGAAATCGAGATATTTTTTGCCATTGAAGGAGGCCAGGGTCGCCTGGTTTCAGAGGCAACATTATTGAAGAAATTGTTGGCAAAGTTTGGTAACTTCAATTGCCTAAGAGTCCTTGGAAATTACAAAGTTACATTTTTTTCTCTTTCATTAATGATTTTCAGTAAATTCCACACAGAAATGTGTTTTTAAATGGTTATAAAAGGTGTTGATCCAAAAAAAGAAAATTAGAAAAAAATTGCCCATCTTCCAAACAGATGCCGATTTCTTTGATTTTGTTATTTTGACGAGCGCCTGATTTCACCATGATGTCTCACAAATATAAAATGATATTTTTGTTTCATTATTATTTCTTCCGAAAGTTACTATGTCAAGAGTAAGTAAGTTGTTTAAATGAAGGCTGTACTATTTTTCACCGTGAAGTCATCAGGTCGAGTCTAGCCAGAGGCCCAGCGTTTTGTCCTTGGGAAAGGAACTCTGTGCACTAATTATTATTTATTTCCTCAGTTCTCCCTGGTGGGAATGACTACCCGACAATTATACAGAGCAAAATATTATAATGATATCTTCAGTTCGTTAGTGGTTCAGCGCGTGTAATGCGCAGCGTGAACAGTACGATGCTTCCTGGGAAGTCGAGACGTTTTCTTTGTCATGTTCTAAGAAGGGTGAGCTGGGGTAACGATATTAAAGCCCGTTCATTTTTCTTCATTTTGGTGAAAAAATATTGATCTATGTGGAATAGAAATCGATATATTATTAGCCACTGAAGGAGGTCAGGGTCGCCTGGTTTCAGAGGTAAAATTATTGAGGAAATAGTTGGCAAAGTTTGGTAACTTCAGTTGCCTAAGAGTCCTTGGAAATTACAAAGTTACATTTTTTCCCCTTTCATCAATGATTTTCTGTAAATTCCACATAGAAATGTGTTTTTAAATGGTCATAAAAGGTGTTGAGCCAAAAAAAGAAAATAAGAAAAAAGTTGCCCATCTTCCAAACAGATGCCGATTTCTTTGATTTCACCAGGATGTCTCACAAATGTTAACTATTTTATTTTTATCTTTATTTCTTCCGAAAGTTACTATGTCAAGAATAAATCAGTTGTTTAAATGAAGGCTGTACTATTTTTCACCGTAAAGTCATCAGGTCGAATCTAGCCAGGGGCCCAGCTTTGTGTCCTTGGGAAAGGAACTCTGTTCACGAATTATTATCACATTTCCTCAGATTCCCCCAGTGAGAATGACTACCCGGCAATTATAGAAAGCAAAATAATTATAATGTTCTGTTCAGTTCGTTAGTAGTTTGGCGCGTG